AAAGGTATGCGAGCTAAATGGAAAGAGGGAGGATTATTTACAACGATCAAGAAGCACCTAGTACGAATTGTCTCCCGATGTTAGTTTCTATGCCCCACTCCGAAATGAAACCTCCTCTCTTTCTTGTCGTTAAAGGCATATTCAAGACGCAAAGGACCCAAAGGTGATTCCACACGGATGCCAAACCCGTAGCCATATCCGCTGCCAGGCTTCTTCCTTGCTCCAGCAGGGTCACCTAGTAAAAACCAAAAACACCATTCAATATGTGCCTCATTAAGGACAGTATGAACAATATCAGCAAACTTCAAGAAAAATGTCATTTTCTTAAACTAACTATATCTCAGGTGGCACTAACTATAGATATAATACCATGTTAGCATGTGAGACATCTTTAAAAAAATTCTAGATACTTAAAATAAATGTCATTTTTCAGCCTAAAATGAATGCTAATAGTGATTTCAAATTATGGAGGGTTAAAAATGAAAAAGAAACAAATTCTTAACCATACTAAAATTCACTAATTTTACACGGACCAAAAACAGTGATTTCATATTTTAGGATGGAAAAAAAAGGCTTAAATATGTTTAGTGACTCAAATGTGAGCTAAATTTAATTGTCTCCTCAAATTTAAAATTGATTTTTTCATCTCTATTATTTTAAGAGAAAAAAATGACTTAAATTTGTTTTAGTTCCTCAAATTTAAGATAAATTTATTTTTAGTTCCTCAAATTTAACATTGGTATTTTTAATCCCTGTAATTTTAAAAAAAAATTGTTTTAGTATTTATGCTCAAATTTTGATAGAGAATCTGTTAAATACTATCACATAAAATTTACCTAGATGTTTCTATTAATGAAAATATCACATTAAATCCAACTGATACTATATAATTATCTCAATATGTCACTTTCAGATGTTATTGATAACTTAAGGGACTAAAACAAGACTTTTAAAATTATAGGGAGTTAAAACAATTTAAATTTGAGGTAACAAAAACAAATTTTCCCTAAATTTAAGGAACTAAAAATATATTTTTAAAAAAATCTTATTTTAGCTCTTTTGCTCAAATGTCATTAATAAATATATCAAATAAAACTCACCTATTATTAAATTGGTTGCATATAATCCACTTAGCGTCATTATTAGTGAAAACATTATATTAAACTTAACTAATGTTGCACAATTGACTCAAATTGTCATCGTCTGTATTGTTATCAGTGAACTGAGAAATTAAAATAAGTATTTTTGAAATTACAAACACTAAAATTCAATTTTAAATTTGAGGGGTCAAAAAAAAAATTTACTCCAAATTTGAGGGACAAAAATCAAAGTTCTTTCATAGGAACTAGAAGCAAATTTAAAAGCAACTTTTTTAATGACATTGTGGATATTGTCACTTAAAGGAGAGAACACAAGGATAACCCAAGAGAAGTTGTTCTGCTAGGTAATGATTTCAGTCTTATGATTTTTGTATGCATGGTTGTCTCCTAGACTGCGAGTTATAACAGCTAACAAGTTTCAGAGCATAAAACAAGTTCCCCGTCTTGTATGATAGTGATTATACCATTCATGCGAATAAGGTGGTTTCAAGAATAGAAATCATCCTCATGAAACACCAAAAGGAAAGAACCAAATAAAAAAGAAATCACAAACAAAATGAAGACCTACCAGGTACAGTTGGGCCTGATCCAAGATCAGTTCCATAGTCTGAAAATAAAACACCTTCTACTGGCCCTTTCTGCAAACAGAAACAGTAAGATCGGTGTAGTCAAGTTCTCTCTAACTTAAATGTAATCAAATGCATGCACCTGTGGGCATGGGGACAAATGCAACAAATTTTTCTATCACCAATTTAGATGCATATGCATAACTATTTGCATATTACAATTTTTAGAAACCCGGTATTCTTATATCCTTCGATTCAGAAAAAAAAAAAAAAACTACAGTAATAAATTTTATAAGTGGCTGTATATTTAGTTTTAGTTTTGAGCTTAACCTGACCCAAAAAAACCTGTGGTGTAACCAAACAAGGGGGATTATACACAGAGAGACAGTAAACTAAGTAGTTTGGTCATTACTTAATAAATTTACAGTGAACACTTGGTAAATTGGCACTAGCTGCTTAGGGTTTGACTGTTAAGCAGTTGGTCTTGCAATCTTTATTGATCATAGTGAATTTCTCCCTGCAGCAGTTACTCTCAGATTTTCCTAGTGAGGCCTATAGGCTCAACCATGGCAATTAAATTCTATGTAATTTCTTATTTTCAGGCATGTCTGGTTAAAAACTTTACTATTCCTTCGAGGTAAATCATTACAATTCTCCGTGTTCAATTGAGAAGTCATATTCAACTTTTGTCAGAAACGTGGGAACGAGATTCTATAGAAATTTTCATCATACTCTGTATTCTACACATTCTTCTGTTTTGCTTTTTCACCCATTCTGAACACTAGAAAATATCATCCGTCTTCTCTGTTTATAACTTTTATAAACACTTTCAAATTTATAATAATTATTTCCAATATTTTTCAAACCATCTTCTACTCATTCCTAAAACACATACTTTATGGTTCCAACATATTAGACAATTCAGCAACAAATTTCAGATACAGCTAGGTGCATCACAGGGAAATTAGGATAAGCACAATCCAGCCATAACTGCACACAAGATGCTTAACTAGATTGAGCAGGAAAAAGCGTGATAAAATTCATGTACCATGGGGAAAGAAACTTCTCCAGAGGTAACAACATATGATCGACCTGAGCCCACACTACCTTCTTCATATCCTCTCACACTGTTTGTTCCACCAATGGCAAAAGCTTCATAGGGAGAGAATTCTCCCACAACGTGACCACCAGAGAGACTACCAGTGAACCAATTAAAGTTGGTAATACATAAGATTGTCTATTTTAATTTAATGTGAAGCGTAAACAAGACATTCCTTTTTCTTTCAATAACAAGGTTAACTTGATGGCATGTATTTCATACCTTAAATGAAGGCGGGCAGGACCTATCTCAACACCCTTCCTAGCACGTGCATTCACCCTAGAGAAGGACAACCATTCAGGCAAAACAGGAAGTCCCTGTTCCATGGTAAGGACAAACTGCAAAACCAAGCAATTCATGATAAGAAGCAGATAATTAAATTTAAACTAGAGGGAATTCAGAACAAACCATAGAAGACCCATGGTCGCCAGAACCAGTGTAAACAGTCTCAAGCTTAGCAAGCAACGTATCATCATGGGTATTGCCACTGCAAGGAAAATATGATAGGAGTTAGAAATAACCACACAAAGTCATGATAACCATACCATTAACATTGCTTAGATTACAACCTAGCAGTAAGAGGACTGCTGTAACAATCTTTAATGATAGGAATACCCTTCTCATCACGGACTCCAGCATGCTGAAATAATATAGAAATTTTGAAGGAAAAAAATCAGGAGCATAAATAGACATAGAAACTATATTAACATTTAATTTATGGCAGGAATGATCTGATTAGTGATAACATAGTTTAACTAAACTAAGCAGATCATCAACTAGCAAGCGGGATTTATAGAGCTAGAGTGGAAGGACTAAAATTAGAAATAAAATGATAAAAATTAGAAATAAAATGATATCATAACACAAAAACAGTAGTCAAGATTGTCAATGAAGCACCTGGAAAACAAGTCCAGCTGTTCCACTCCACTTCGGCCTGAGTGGTCGGCTAAACTCTATACCACCAGTGATGCGGCCAATGGTAAGGCTACGGTTACCATCTTCATTACCATGAACAATGGTTCCAGGAGTTCTTGAATTCTAAAGTAAAGTTAATTGAATATCAGCAAATACAGTTTTTAACATTTTACCATTAAAAGCAGATTGTGCTCAGACAAATAAACCTTCAGAAATTACCTGAATTGTTATTGTTCTAGATGTTCGTTTATCATCTCCTTGAATCCATGGGTCTGTGTAGTTTATACGATAGACTGAGTCAATCTGGCCCCTCTCTAAGGAAATATTGAGCTTCTGGTTTTTACCGAAGACATTCCTGTGAGAATAGGCAAAGCTGCAGTGGAATAAAAAAAGAATTGAGTGGATCAGCAAAGAGTAAACCATTTGCGGTTGGACCATAAGTTACAAGCAATATGAAAACATACATTACAGCCAAAACAGCTTTATTATGTTGACAATGGCAAAAGTGGAAAACATACATAAGCATAGATAAGCCAAGATAAATTATCCAAAGTTAATATCAACTAAAATTTCAACATGGCCCAGTTTTATCATCTGCAACATATGTAAAGGAGAGTAGTGTACTTACAGAGTTACATCTAATCAACTGCAAGTGGCTATTCACCACTTGCCAATGTCATAAACATTGCATAGCAGCATATAAATACAGTAGCAGAGGGCCAGAGGTAAATGACCCTTAACATGGTTTTAATTGCAGTAAAGTAAACTTGGCTATTAAATGAAGGAGAGGATATGATAGCATAATACAAAGAATTAACTCATAACATCACCATTACAAAACTATAAAATAAACTCACCTTCCAATGAGCCCCCTTAGTGGACCATTTGTAATCCTACAAAGTAAATACCTAGTCAGATACACAGATTACGAAGCAACCAACAGAGAAAATAATGTAGATCACCCCCTATTTTGGAAAATAAAATCACCCCCTGAGGGATCTAAAATACAAAAAATCCACAGGGATATTTGTCTCATGAAAATTAAAATTAGGGAAGTTTAAAGTAATTTACAGAATTACTAGGGGACTAGGGAATTTCATCAAACATAAAAACGACTAAGCATACTTTACCAAATTAGCAAATATAAGTATTTCTTATGTATACTTTACGCGAGCATCACTTACCCACTTGATATCCCACCACCAGCAGAAAATCCTCCACTGGGACGTTCTACCACATTCATCACTAAATCAACTTTTCCTGTATCTATAGCATGCAAAAGAAACAAAATACAGAAGTTTGGACTTTAGAGATACCATGGATGATGGATCTAAGGGATGAAGACAAAAAAAATAAAAGAGATCATGTCAATTCTTCAAGAACATGTGTAGTCTCCATTTGACAGTGTTGGTTGAGGGTTAGTGAGGTATCATATATAACAACTTACAGGCTATCAAATATCAATACACAAATAAAAATTATCAAGAAAAAAATGGGCCACTTGTGGAACACTGTAACTTGTTTCAAGTCCTATTTAGCACTAGTGAACTGTATTAAAAGAAAAATACTAATATTTGCAACTAGCAAAATACATTAGATAACCCCTGTTAGCAGTTAGTTATGATAGGTTATTTACCCATTAGTTAGTCCCATTGATGAGTTAGTTAGATAGGTTAGATAGTCTAAATAAGGCATGTTCCTATAAATAAGGAGGGAGCGGAGAGACATTTCCTTTTGTCATTTGTAAGAGAACTAGGGCAATTGGCTTTGGAGGTGCAGTCCCTCAAGAACTGCCAAGTGTCAGTGTTCTATTTTGTAGATTGGGAAGTTCATCCATGTAATTCTGCACAAAGATACCAGGCTTCTATAATAACACCCTTGTTTCTTCATTTCTTTCTTTTTGGCCTTCTCGTGTTTTCATTAACTTTAATTTCCTAGTTTCTCCACAAGTTAGCATGAAACATTCTCCACATTATTTTATAATATAACAATTTTATAAGGTTATTTTTGGTAGGACACTAAAATGCTGGATAAAAATATACTTATACTACTTGACAAGTGTAGTTACCAGTTAGACCATAAAAATGATTGCTTTATTTTTTTTTCTGGTTACTTGCCTTAAAGCCCATTTTCAGTCTGTATATGTTGTTACCTGCTGGTTGGGGAATAATGCTAACATCTTCCATGATCCCCATAGTTAGTACAGTTTCTACGTCTCTTTTTCCCTGAAGCATGCTGTAGACCTGAAAAAACAATTATGGATGATGCCAAGATCCTGTTTAGTAAGAATGTGAATTCAAGATGGCATGTTTTACCAAAAGAGAAAAGATATATCTGAAAAATCAACTAATAACAATACTAATGTCCAATTGCCATCAAACACACCAAAGAATGTTGGCAACCAAATTTGATAAAAATAATGCCACACTCAACTTCCAAACTTAAATCCTCTTGTTTTAGCTTGCTTCACAGTTTTGAACCAATAATAAATATATATTCGTTCTTGATAAAACATTCAAAAACTAACAACTATGAACCATCATCTACTGGAGTGGCCAGGGCTAGGTCAAGGAATTACCTGTCCCTTCTTGGTTGTAATTTGCCGAAGTATTGTTTCAGGCTTTGTCTTCCCCATAGTAATCTCACCTCTACAGAAAGAAAATCACATTGGTAAAAAAATAAAAAAACTTCTCAGCATGAGAGTACTTATGTTTATCAATACAATTGAAAGAAGGCGCTTACGTCTTCCTGTCAAGAAACCGTATGGAAATATTATTGACCTCAGCCTCTGACACTTGTAATCTCAGAATACCCCCAGAGAGAATCTCAACAGCTGAAACCTAAGGCAATGATCAAAGCAGGGAAAAAAAAGAAAATGAAAGAAGACAATTCCCATATGGCAAGCGATGTTGAATACTTGAATGATATAATATTGTGATAGTTTCTGCAACTTAGGCTACTGAAGATGAAAGTTGAGTCCAAATTTTGGATTTCCACCGAATACCAAGCAGGAAGAATTTATTAGATTGTTAAGTTTGATCAGAAGTTAAGGAGAATTTACCATGGCAAAAAGACCACGCTCCATGTACCAGTTGTTAATGGAAGATATTGCTTCATCCAATCGTCTCAAATTGATGATTTTCCCTACACAACTTGACATGTTAATTTGAATACAGTTAAGGCAACATATGCATGATATACAACTGAACGAATATGGAGAAAGAAGAATTAGTTACCATATCCATCTCGCATCGAATTCTCTAAAAATTTAGCTGGGAGAACATTAGCTCCTTCACATACCAACCCTTGGAACTCTTGATTTGGTTCTACCTTATGCCACAAGAAACCACTACTAACATTACAGCACTCAATATTGCAGACTCAAACAAACAACACTAGAACGCAAAATTCTATTCAAATAACACTAAATCATTATAAAACGGTGAATTCAATTCCAATGCCTAACCGCCATTGTTCAACAGAAGAGAATATAGCTGAAATACTAATCAGATACCGTCACGCGTACAGCATTACAGCATTCAATATTGTCGACTTAAATACACAATACTAGAACGTGAAATTCTATTCGAATAACATTAAAATCATTATAAAAAATTCAAAGCATAACCGCTATTGTTCTATAAAAGAGAATATACCTAAAATACTAATCAGATACCGTCACGCGTACTAGCATTACATCATTCAATATAGCAGACTTAAATACACAACACTAGAACGCGAAACTCTATTCGAAATCATTACAAAACGGTGAGCTGAATTCCAATGCCTAATTGTCATTATTCAACAGAAGAGAACATACCTGAAATACTAATCGGATACCGTCGCGTGTGTCAACCGCAACCGGCATGCACGACGAAAAATATCCGCTGTTGATGATGCGATGCACATCCTCTTGTACCTCGCGCACTGTTAGAGCCGAGTTAGGTCGACAAGCCTTGAGAGCCTGCACCGCTTCCGCTTCGAGGTCCTTCCTCTCCAATTCCTCGCCGTCTTTGTTTCGAACCAGCACTTCGCTTATCAGCACTCTCTCCTCGTTCTGCCGCGCCTTCTGCTGCGCCTCAATATCCGCCAGAGACAGAGACGCCAGACGCTGAATCGGACACTTTCCTCTCCTCTCGCCGGTAAAGGACAGCGTCGCCGAGCACAGGAGCGACGAATTTCGCACCACGGAGCGAGTCAACTCGGTGGAGTGAGCGGCGAACGAGTTGAAGAGTTGCGCAATCGAGTTCGAGGCGTTGACGAAGTGAGAATGTGCGGTTCGCAGGGGACAGGTTGGGCGTTTGTGAGGAAGAGGGATTTTGATAGAAGAGGAAACGATGCGGATGTCGTCGTTTTGAAGCATTGCTCGCTCTGTGACTCGTTCCATGGATGCAATTTGAATAGGGAGTGAGCTAGTGCGGTTCTTGCCTTGCTTGCTCCGGCTAAAGGTTCTTTCAGCAGTCAGCACTGAACCTCCGAAGCGGTGAACCTTTTTCTTTTTGGACTTTTGATGCAGAAAGGGCGGGCCTGTCTTCTATGGGCTGTGATTTATCTGCGGCCCACATCAACCCTAATTGAACGCTTGTGCAGTATCTACTGGATCTCCCAAATCCGAGACATTTGTGTAGTGTCATATACCTACTTTGTGTTTGACACATGAAACTGGAATTAAAACTGTAGCTTGTTTAGGATTGGAATCTTAATTTTATTTTTGTTATAATTAAATTTGGTTCAAAAGCATACTATATTTAGATTATGCAAATAATTAAAGCTTAAAATTATATAATTATACGTTAAGTTCGGTTCCATTCTAACAACTCTTATTAATTGTGTTAGGTGAAAACATTTAATTGATATGTGACCGAAGATGAGGGGCAACAATAATAAAAGTATTTGTGAAAATGGGCAAAAGAATAAGAGAAATTTATTAACACTCTTTCGTTGTATTGTATACACCTTGAGAGACATGCGAAGAGAGAAGAAATAAGTGATTCATATGATTTATGATATGTTATGACCACGAGAGAGATAAAAAATAATAATTATAAGTGTCACTCAAGTGTGAGGATGGAGCCAAGTGTGAGGATGGGGCCAATAGGAATTGCATAGTTATTATTGTCACAATATTAATAGCCGTGATAGATATTAATTAAGTAAGGAATAAGGAGAGTTATTGTATAGTCAATAATATAAGATTGGTCAGACAATTATTAAATCATCTCAATCATTAATTATTTGATAACAATTATCAATAATCTTAAATGACACTCTCTACAAAAAGATTAATTAGGTCGTGAATAGCACTTTAATCTCATAGTCTAAATCAAATACAAGTTCTTATCTCCTCCTTATAACTCAATAATACTTGAATTCAAGTCTATAGAATATATCATGTTCAAGTAAAGATGTTTATTTATGGATACAAACATAATGTAAAATTGAGATTATAATTTATTATTTATTTATAAGATTAAAATCAAGAAGATAGAAACTTTTATTTTAGTAATATTGGAATTTCATTCCTTTTTTTTTTTTCAATAGAAGCCAGATGAGTATTATTTTTAACTATAGAAGTAACTAATCTTTGTTGTAACTATGAACATATACGGGTTAATATTTTTCTTTCAACATAGTTTACTCTATATTTACGAGTATTTAACAGTCATGTAATTGCCTAGTTTTGCTAAAAAAAACTTGTGAATGAGGACTTATCATGTTTTGCCAAAAAACTTGTGATAAATAATTAGTCAAGTTTTGCTAGAAAACATGTGAGAAGAAGTTTTTAAGTTTCATACTTAAAATTTGTAAAGAAAATTTTTCAAGTTTCATATATAAAACTTAAAAAAAGGAGGATTTTCAAATATATTTAAACACATTTTAAGATAATGAATATTTTTATAAATGTAAATACGAGGGACCACATCCTACTAAATAAATTTTGTGTAATATTTCTTTAATTTTTTATAGCGTTTTTGCATGTTCTTTTTTCGTTGTGCAGAAAAAATATTTTCTTTCCCAACACATGTATATAGTAAGTTTTGCGAGCTTTGATCTTATATTTGTGATTTTAGTTATAATTCAGAAACATCATAATTAAATTCAACAAGTTATTTCCAATTTTATGCTCCATTTTTATATGGATTTCAAGTCCAAATTTCATACTTAATTTTGTGCATTATATGATTTTAAAGTTTTATGTTTTTTATTAATAAAAATTACAATTATTGCTACCAAATTGAAACTCAGAATTATGTGTATATTACACCAATTCTCCTTATTAGGACGATTTAGTGATTTGTGTTTTATCTTAACAAAAATTTGAAATACATGTTAAAATGTGTACGATAGCTTCAATATATTTTTGCAAAATCTAAAAACAATGACTTTGAAAAAAAAAATATTTCCTTAAAAAAATTATTTATGATTTACAATCACATTCAATTTACTACAAAACTTGTACATAAAATTCACAACAAATTAAGTTTTAAAATTATTAACTTATTTCTAAAATGAGACAAATTTACCATTAAATATTCATCTTATATAGTCCTAGACAAAAGTAAGAAGAAAAAATATATTATGTTTGCAAAATTAGATGAATAGTCAAAACCCAATTGAAAAGCTATTTTTTTATTTTTTTTGTTGAAGATTATTAGTTAATAATTAAAAAATGTTGAGTAAACTTATTAAATTATAAGTTTTTAGAAAAAATAAATATTATAAAACTCAATCTATTATGTATCAAACATCATTTTTTTTAAATGTCTTTATAAAATGTATTTTTTGAATTTAACAAGTCAATGAAATTTATTTACTTGATGTATCTTAAAATAAAACAGTCTAATTTTTTGTTGTTCGAGTGCAAAAGTTTTGGAAACATTACATTACCCACTTCTCCTAAATTAATATCTTACCAAATCGAGGAATAAATTGAAAGGGAAATTAAACACGTGTTTATTAATCTTAATAAAAGAATTACCTTTTTAAATTTGATAAATTACTTATTTGAGTCCTATAATAAAAATTAAAAGTAGCATTAGCTAATTATAATTTTAGTTTTGTCTACTATTGTTAAACTCTACCATTGTTAACTCTTTTTATTTTTTTTTTATTTTTTTATGCATGTTGTTGACTTTAGGTGAGACTCTTCCCACTACCAAGTCAATTTTAATCTTTATCTAATGCACTTTTATTAAATAAGATATAAAAATTATTATTTTATATTTAATTTTTTTATTTATCATAATTGTTTATAAATTAATTTTTAACTTTTAAAAAAATAATGTAAGAAGGACTAAAAAATCTGCGGGGTAAGGCGATGGTTACGAGCAAGAAAGAAATTTTCCATCCTAGTAGTGAATTTTAGACGTAAAAAAAGATAAAAGAAACATTGAAGTTGGTTCCCCACTCATAAAACAGAGGAAAGCCCCCCCCTCTTTCTTGTCTTTTTCCTTTGTTGCTGCCACTACTGTGCACTGATCGTCGGTCTTCAACAGGTAAAGCTAAACACAAGATCTGTAACCAATCTCAGATGTTGTCGTTAGCTTTGGTTTTAATCCCTGTGAATATCAGTCTATGCTTCATGTTGGGGGTTTCAATTTGAACTCAAGGGTATCTCTTCATATCACACATCCAACATATTAAGCTTGTTACGATTATTACTTGTTAATGCGTTCGCTTATTTCCTATATGCTGGTTCTAAGAATTATTTTGCTTTTGAGATGATGTGTGAGCAAAAGATTTGGCTTTCCAGTTTTCTGGTGGTGTAAGGCTTAGTCAACTGGTGATAAATGCTGTTCTGAGTTCTGACCACGCCCCAATTGGGATTTTAAGTTTCTGTTTTAGGCTTTTTTGTATCAGCATCTTTGAGAATTAGGGTTTGTGTTTGTGTTCCAGTAATGAATAGTTCGGGTTTAGGTGGTGGTTTTCTGTCTGGTCCCAATGGGGGGATTTTGGACTTGGAATCTCCATTTCATAGACACCAACAGACTCAATTGGGCCATCCATCAATAGCTGGTCAACAGCACATGAATATGATGGGTGGTCTCGAAAATGATCACCCCATTGGCTTGATTGAAGTGAAAAGTTTGAATGCGGCGTTGAATTTTGGTAAAGGGAAGGCAATTGCTCCTTCTAATCCTGCCAACAGTAATGAGTTGAGCGAGGATGATGAGCCTAGCTATGCAGAAGAAGGGAATTGTGAGAACCTGGACGGTGGGAAGAGCAAGAAGGGATCTCCTTGGCAGCGAATGAAGTGGACAGACAATGTGGTTAGGCTTCTCATAACAGTGGTGAGTTGTGTGGGTGATGATGGCACAATTGGTGGCATGGATGGTCATAAAAGGAAATCAGGGGTTTTACAAAAGAAGGGCAAGTGGAAAACGGTCTCCAGGATAATGATAGGCAAGGGTTGCCATGTATCACCGCAGCAGTGTGAGGACAAGTTCAATGACTTAAATAAGAGATACAAGAGGTTAAATGACATACTTGGAAGGGGAACTTGTTGTCAAGTGGTTGAGAATCCTGTGCTGATGGATTCAATGCCTAACTTGTCAGCTAAGATGAAGGATGATGTTAGGAAGATATTGAGCTCAAAACACTTGTTTTATAAGGAGATGTGTGCCTACCATAATGGGCAAAGAATACCAAATAGCCATGATCTCGACTTGCAAGGTTATTCTATGGAGCATGGGAGGGACTCGAGAGATAATAATGGATCTGAGGACGAAGATGAGGATAACAATGAAACCGATGATGATGAGTTGGATGATGAAATTAATGTTAATGCACACGAGGATGGAGGGAGGATGCAGGAGCTCTGTGATAGAAATAAATTAATTGAGGAGGATGGCCATTTTGGCCCACAAACTTCTCGGATGGATAAATTCGAGGTTGAAATGGCAAGGGTTTTTCAAGACCCCACAAAGTCATCACGGGAACGAAGAGAGTGGATTAAGATCCAGATGTTGCAGCTTCAAGAGCAAAATATCAGCTACCAAGCCCAAGCATTTGAACTTGAGAAACAACGGCTTAAGTGGTTAAGATACTGCAGCAAGAAGGACAGGGAGCTGGAGAGGATGCGGTTGGAGAACAAAAGAATGAAATTGGAAAACGAGCGCAGGATCTTGAAACTGAAGCAGAAGGAGCTCGAGACAGATTTCAGTACATCTGAGATGTCTTTAGACCCTGCCTCTCTTGGAATCAACCGGCCACAACCACAAGGGAGAGAACCTATCAGCTTAGGCAGACAACAGTAGCTCCTTCTCAGAAAGGATCTGTCATTATTGCTTAAATGAGGTATGAAATGAAACCCTTTCTCTATATGCTTAATAATTTGTTATTGCAGTTATACCAAGTGCCTAACATAGTAGGTTACTCGGTATATAGAGTTTCATTGACATAGAAAATGAATGATAAAATAATTTGTTCTTGATCTTTCAACAATGTTGTTGAGAAGAGAGTTCAGTTAACAAATATATATTTTTTATACCTTTTGCAGTGCTGTGGCGTTAGCAAACTGAGCCAAGAAGCCAAAATTCATTTTGAATGTGAAGAAATAAATGTTTTGCTCAACCAGTCGCTTTACCTCATTTAGTCGTTATATGATATTATGATGGCATGTGGGGTTTGTCAGTGACACACAAGTAGGAGGATATTGCTCTAAGGCACTTGAGCTCTTATTGGTCATCAATTCATCATTGGTGTGGTTTTAACTTGTCTTTAGTCAACTCAATTGTGACTGCTATATTTGTAGCCACGTACCACATGCGTGATTTAATTTTTGGCTTTGCATCTGTATATTATACACACAAATAATGGTGCAAACTCTGGGGAAAAAGGTTACCAGCATCTCTGGGCAAATGTCACCGACTTTCTTGTAAATTTTTTTGGTACAGACTTTGTTGTAACCTTGTTACATTAAGAAGCTACGTTTAGTATGCATAACTCATTTTTTAGCTATGTATTTGCGAAGCACCTTCGTGAAAGCTTTCAAAGTAGTCTTTGAAAAGTTCATTTTCTTTCCTTTGTTTTGATCAACTTTTTTTAATTGTCGCCAACGTAGTAGTATTGTAATTTGTTTCTTCTTCTTCTTCCCCTTATTGTTATTTTATTGTTTGTTTCCGGTTAAGTATATAGGTTTCGGACCAGTCAACAGGATCGCGTGTTCGGCTTTGATTAAGTTAGAAGAAATAATTTTTTAAAAGATTTTAACAATATAAAATAATCTTATAAGTATAATGGATATTTTGTTTCACCTCCTAAAGCTGAGACGAAAAAAAGAGATACTATCATGTTATGCTTTTGCTTCAAATGCGGAAAGGACTGGATTTTAAATCTAACGCAAGTTGGATTCAAAGATGCTAATATTAAAGCACATACTTTTCTTGTATTCGAGATATTGAGTACAGTTTTATTCACGTAAAACCTAGTACTTAAGCTAAGAAATTTGCTACTTTTCAGCTCTTAAGACATTAGAGTATGTGAAGACGATGTCTTATTAATTTATAATTTAATGTAAAAAACATCTATGCTAGTTTATGAATCTTGACCCGCTAAATTCGATCCAGTGGTTTATTTGACAGGCTTAACCTATTACTGCATTCTTTTCTTAGAAACTTTTCATGTTTCGTCAATTTTGGGGGATTACAAGTGGATATGTTTAGATAGAACAAAGAGGTTTTTAATTGTCAAAAATGGTCCAACGTGAAAAAGTCTTGTGCAAGTAAGTCAACTTCAGAAATTTCCATGAAACCTTAATTTCCAGCTTTCAAGGTGTGAAAGTTCATTTTTCCGCATTCACTATTCCATTCTAAAATGAAAATTCAACTTGTTGCTCCAAAATCGTAGGATTTGTGCTTACCATGCTTTAGATCCCCAAGATTTACAAGTTCGTATAAATTAAGTTCGTGAGCCTCGAATATTTTCATTCAAACGCTTCTTTCTCAACATCTTATTTTCGTTCACATTCAAGAAGGCAAGACCAGCGGTACAATCTCTCTATTTCTGTTTATTTTTATAACAATGTTTGTGTTGATTTACAAATTAGTTTATGTGGCTTGTTTTTGTCCTTTAAGTTATTGGGTTATGTTTTAAGTTGGTTTGTGTAACAATAAGACCCTCTGTTTACTTGATTCTATTGTTAATTGGTTTATATCTGTCTTTCCAATTAAAGCGTGGTTCTATCTGCATAAATTTTAACATATAAGATTCATCAGACTCGGATGATCTTGACGGATTAATTTCTTTGGTAAAGTAGTTTTCTATCGATCAATATATGGAAAGGCAATTACTGCAGACAATGCATGGTTGTTATGTTACCATACCTCATGTCTTACATAAACAAAAATGGGGTCAATACTACAAAAGGATACAACTCTTTGTCATTAGCTACTTCACATCTTCCTTTTTTCTTGTCCTTTTACAGTTAAAAAGAAACAGAAGCTACTTAAATGCTATTTGGAATTCATTGTTACTCTTGAACTCTAAAATAACCTAGGTCCTGATTTCATTTAAGTCCATAAATAGCTTAATATGATTTATTCTTTTGCAGTTTATAGTAATTCCAAGAACTCAGCTATGACCGCTACTCAAGAACTGATGGTTGATAGGCAACAGTACCCTACAATCCAAGAAAAGTTTGCTGGCCAGCTTCACTTGAGACACAACCTTCCCTCACATGCTGCAACTTGTTCCGGAGGATTGAAAAGGTCACCTCTCTGTCAGCAACAATTTTCATTGAAAAATTATTCAAATGCAAGGTTGCAGTGGCCTGTCATGCATTCTGTAGGCTCAGCTGCTTCACCAGTGTTTGTTCCATCCCCGTCGGAGAAAAACTTCTCAAGCTTTGCCACTGATTTTCTCATGGGTGGTGTTTCTGCAGCAGTGTCCAAGACTGCAGCTGCTCCTATTGAGCGTGTAAAGCTTCTGATTCAAAATCAAGATGAGATGATCAAGGCTGGTCGGCTCTCTGAACCCTACAAGGGCATTGGAGATTGCTTTGGCAGAACAATCAAAGATGAGGGGTTTGTTTCACTGTGGAGAGGGAACACTGTCAATGTTATCCGTTACTTCCCAACACAGGTATAATTGTCATTCATTCTTACATGAAATTATTGCATGGATGAGGATTATGTGCGTCCATTGACCTGGCTGATTTTCCACGTTCTCATAGTCAAGTTTTATTAACTCTGTCCAATAAATTGGAAAACTCAGTGAAGTGTCACATAGAGATTAACTCGGACTATGAACACTTCTGTCTCTTAAACTAAAATGTCTAAAATACTCGGCTACCATGAACACGTGATAGTTTTAGACCAATGCAATAATTTCTCCTTTCATGTAGTTTCCCATATTTGAACTTTGCATCTCTTCTTTGGTTTGTGTTCCTTAGGAGAAATTATTGTGATCTCAGATAACGTGTTCATAGTTCTAGTCAACTTAGTGGGAACTATGATGGTCTCAAACCATACAACAATTTATTGATCATTAATAATTAAGATTGTGTCTTCTTTCTAATACTTTTGCAGGCTCTGAACTTTGCATTCAAGGACCACTTTAAGAGGCTATTTAACTTCAAGAAAGACAAGGATGGGTATTGGAAATGGTTTGCAGGGAACATAGCATCTGGTGCCGCAGCAGGAGCTTCATCCTCCATATTTGTTTATTCATTGGATTACGCTCGAACTCGTCTCACCAATGATGCCAAGGCTGTAAAAAAGGGTGGAGAGAGGCAATTCAATGGTTTGGTGGATGTCTACAGGAAGACTCTTCAATCAGACGGAATTGTTGGCCTCTACCGTGGCTTCAATGTTTCTATTGTCGGAATCATTGTCTACCGTGGTTTGTACTTTGGAATGTATGATTCTCTCAAACCAGTGCTCTTGGTGGGAACTTTGCAGGTGAGGAGGCATTGCACTTTTAGTTCACATTTTGCCACATTGGTTCATTATTTAATATAATCATTTTCTCTTTCATTTTCTTACTAAATTTCAGGATAGCTTCTTTGCTAGCTTTGCTCTGGGGTGGCTCGTTACCACTGGTGCTAACCTTGTCTCTTATCCCTTAGATACTGTTCGTAGAAGAATGATGATGACATCAGGTGAAGCTGTTAAGTACAAGAGCTCTTTCCATGCATTCTCTCAAATTGTGAAGAATGAAGGTTCAAAATCTCTCTTCAAAGGCGCTGGCGCAAATATTCTTCGTGCTGTTGCGGGTGCTGGTGTGCTTGCAGGCTACGACAAACTTCAGGTTCTTGTCATGGAAAAGAAGTATGGTTCCGGTGGGGCTTAATTATGAATAGTGTTATTTAGTATCAAGTTGTGGGATTACAAAAACCGCGTTAACTATCTTTGATTTCTATCATAGTCTTTTTTTACATATTCTTTTTTAAATTTAATGTATTGGACCAATAATGTACAAATACATGGGTTTGTGATGCACAGTAAAAAATAGTTTCTGCTGTGAAGTAATTATTGTGAACAAAAAAAAACTTTATTCTTTTTACGTACAATAATGATGATAAAAAATATATTAAAATATTATTATAAAAGAAATAAGAAAAGGTTACGTAAATTTATTTAACGTGGTTCAACTCCTCATAAGGATGTTCATTATTTATTTTAAAATGTGTTACATATATCTTGAAAATCTCTCCTTCAAGTTTTGTGGGTTAAACTTAAAAACCCCTTTCTCACAAGTTTTATGGGTGAAACTTGAAAATCTCTTCCTCATAAGTTTTCTAGCAAAACTTGAAAACCATCATTCACAAGTTTTCTGGCAAAACTTGGAAACCCTTCTTCATATGACCTCCTTTCTCATTTAAGGTGGTGACCCCGCTACAGGTCGGGTGATTCTTCTCATCCCAAGAGTCTCTATTTATTGACCTTATAAGAAGAAACAAATCTCTAAAATAAATACAATATATTTCAATTCTAAACAATATCCTAGAAGAATCAATATCTTTTAAAATCTAAATAATATCTCAAAGATTTGAATTTGAAAATTTGAATTGTTTTCTCAATAATTCCTCCCTCAATTAAAATTTTCAAATTTAACCTTGTTGCCATGGATGCTTGTCACAATCATTTTCAATCATACTTTTACTATGCAATATTTCTTGTCTCCATTTCTTGGGTATTGGAATCGTTGTATGTCAATATTCAATACTCAAGTGACAGGTCACCATCACCAGACTCCACGAATCATGAGCTCTGATACCACTGTTGGGAACAAAAAAAACTTCTTTTCTTTTACGCACAATAATGATGATGAGAAACATATTAAAATAATACCATAAAAGAAATAAGAAAAGATTACACAAATTTATTTAACGTGGTTCAGCTCCTCATGCTTACGTCCACAAGGATATTTATTATTTATTTCAAAATGTGTTACATATATCTTGAAAATCTTCTCTTCAAGTTTTGTGGGTTAAAATTGAAAACCTCTTCCTCATAAGTTTTATGGGAAAACTTGGAAACTTCTTTCTCACAAGTTTTTTGGCGATACTTGAAAACCATCATTCACAAGTTTTCTGACGAAATTTAAAAACCTTAATTCATATGACCTCCTCTCTCATTTAAGGCGATGACCCCACTACAAGTCAGGTGATTCTTCTCATCTCAAAAGTATTTATTTATTAAACTTACATTATAATCTTAAAAAAAGAAATAAATATCTAAAATAAATATAATATATTTCAATTCTAAATGATATCCTAAAAGAATTAATTTCTCAACAATAATGCTACTTAATTATTGAACATAATAATGTCGACAGAGAAAAGATAATAAAGAATGAGTGAAGTGGTAAACTTGAAGAATATACGCTACCAAAGAAAAAAAAAACTAAAAGAATATAAGTTTAGCAAAAGTATCAGGTATTTATATTTATGGTGAAGGAATTTTGATAAGGAAAATGCTAACCAGCAAAAGAAGATAGTGTTTGCTTTAGGAGGATTATAGTTTTAAACTCTGAAATGATGTATTTTCATGTCTGTCTATAGGTCGTTGTTGTTTTATTTCATTTTAAAAAAGAAAAAATCCACTTGTCACTTGATACGAAAGTTAAAGAATACACCAAATGTACCTGCATGATTCCCAACTTGAATCAGTTTCGTTTTTGGCGAGTCTCTTGGCTCTCTTCAACAAAATTTATCATTTATATATCTGAAAGGATTCACTTTCTAAACACGCGAAAATAGCCCCTTAAATTCAATTTTGCTGGAAAAAAAAAAACTGTACCTTCATTTTTATTTTTTATATCTTCTAACCATATTTATAGTGACTTATTTTTATAACTTGTTATAGTTATCAGGCTTTCCTAATTCTTATAATTAAGATAATGATTTTTTAATCATTATAGTTAAGCACGTATATTAACTTATTCTAACTTAGTCTGTAATATCGAGTTCATGTACCAGACATGCGACTTCTTTTGGAGGAAGAGTGTCTTGTATTCTTTGATGGCCACAGAACCCAATTCAATGTCCGTCTTAGAAATAAATAAGCAACAGCACACAGTAAGTGTTTACTGTGTTTAGCTAAGTTAACATATTAGAAATAAGGTTTAATACATAATTGGCTATCTGAATCAAATTTTTTTTAATTAGGTTTCTAAACTAACAAAATTTGTAATTAGATTCTTCATCTTTTTATATTTTTGTAATTTACTTTCTCTGAAATTAAAAATTTGTTTATAATTCATAAAATTTCACACGTATTTGAATGACCATACTAAATTATTATTCTGTATCATTATTCATATATCAAATTTATAAAGCATATAATGTTAAAAAAAAATTAACAACAAAGGTTAAAATGATTAAAAAGATAAATATAAAAAATTAAAAATATTTATTTTTAAAATATAGAGACTAAAAAATAAAAGTAGAGTAAATGAATTGAAAAAGTATTTTAGCCATTAAAAAAAAAGGAAAAAAAAGGTGTAACGGTTAGAGAAGAGGTGCGATGCAGGTGATCATGATCTATGCAAGAAGTGCGTAAAGGTGGAGAAAGCAGAGTGAAGAGAGGCAGTTAGAAAGTGATTGATTGATTCAGTTTCATGTTTGTCTCGGCACCAAAATCGATCAAGGTCCGTTTCTTCGTATTCCTTCCATCCAATCTTGTTCTATTTATCTCCTCCCAATCCTCTCATTCTTTATCTTCACCCATCACAACTCTTTCTTCTGTTGATCCCTTATGCTACTACAATCAATGTAACTGATGCGATTCTCTGCTTCCCTTCAACTAACCAGGTACACGTCATTCAATTCTCGTTTCTTCGCCGGAGATCGAATATTTCACTTTTTCTTTTACGCGATTTTTTTCCCACTTCATTCAGTTCACCATGAAAATGCTTCATGCAATTGCAAGCTTTGTTCCTCCGTTTTAGAATGCAATGAATGCAGAAAATATTCGTTGGTTTATATACCATTACCAATAATAATAATCATGTACTGAATCAGTTAAAAACACACGCCGAGTCTGGGAGAGGGAGGAACTTTATTTGATTTCCGCATAATACATCCTTAGGGAGGGACGAAGAGTTTCAAGTGGAACTAAGTTTCAAACTGAAAATTAGTCTTATACTCATTCCATTGGAGTAAAGCTTGTAGAGATACATTGGGGTTCCATTAGAAAGCGAAATACTTTAAATACTAAAAAATCTATAACAATAACGTGTCTGTAAGCAATGATTATCATTGTTTATTAACAAGGTAAATTATGATTATATCTTATTAACCTTTATTGTCGAGATCATCAATCACATGGATTGTGATTTGTTTCCATAATTTGCTGTGATAATTGGCTTTCCTAAATATTGCAATTAGGACAATGATTTGGGCTTTCGTAATTGCAACTAGAAAAGCCTAATCATTTCTTGCGTCCAAACATCCAGGTTAACAATAGTTAGGAACAAAGCCTGATCATTTCTTGCATTGTTGAATCTATGAATTCACTCTGCAGATTCACTATTTTCTGAGAATTCACTCTGCAGATTACTTGTCTGGCAGATAGAATTCACGATGAGTTGGAATCCACACATGGAGGTCGATAAGTCGATTACAATAACATCAGCAGTCCCTATAGTACAGCAGGAAGATTTATTAAATATGTTGAAGGTTTAACACACGAACATGTTAACGTCATTTTTTCTGGCGCCTCACGTGCTGAGCTACCTTGAGGGATCTTATTTAGGTTCTGTTTGAGATATTGATAGAAAACTTTGTACCCTTTTTATTGTTTCCTCTATATAGGTCTATTGGGATGAGGCTGCTTAGTTTGATATACACTAGACAGAGAAGAACTTCTCGAATCATAATTATCAAATATACAATAAATGTCTTTTGAAGTGTTTATATGCAAAAAAGCATGATTTTCTTTTCCTATGAGTGGAGCTTAATTGGAAGTTTCAAGTAAAATATGTTTCATAAATATATACACATATACAGGAGAGTTCATGCCCTTCAACTACAAGCTTCTACAAATCTGGGCTATCTGAAACAGAGAGTACCTCGTACCATCGGGACAGTCATGGTTATGAGGTGAACCATCATGAACCATTGACGGGTGAGTATAGAAGGCCTTCGGAAAACTCACCAACAATCAATGAAGAAATGGCCACAGTACGTATAGAAAGAGAAGAAGAAGTAAACAATGCCACACGAGACAGTTCTATTGAATGTATGTTATCGAGTTTCATCAGAGGATAGTTTTCCTCAAATATATTATCCATCCAAATCCCCTTTTGCAGATCTGTAATTCGGTACCTATATATAAATTGTATGCTCAAAATATAAGCAATTCTGTCTCTTTTCTTTCAGGTCCACGAAGACATCATCATAATTCCAATAATTATCAGGTATTTCATTAAATTCATGGTGCAATAAATAATTAAACGGCAATTCATTCAACATCGAAGTCGTACCTTTGCCTTTAGCACAATCACCGATTAATTAAGATGAGCTAACCCATTTATTTTAAAAAAAAAACTTTCAGGTCCTTTGGGAAGACAATATTGATCCTGACAACATGACCTATGAGGTTGGACTGAGAGCCTTCCTTTTGTAGCCCACATATTTCTTTCCTAACGTGCAACTATCTTATGTTTGATTTTTGAAAAGTATACAGTCAATTTTCAAGATGTATATAATTGTAAGTCTTACAACTGTTTGATTATGAGAAATACCGTCAACTTTTTCCTTTGGTGTCTGTCTTCTGCATTGCTCCAGCACAAGCCTTTCTTCTTCCTTTCTTCCCGCACAATCCATTATGTTATATCCATTACTATTGCATCAATTCTAAGAAGAAAAAAACGTTAACAAAGAAACATTTTTGTTAAAATGTTGTATAAAGGTAGTTATAATAGATATTTTTTTATAATTTTTTATTATGGTTTTAACAATTGCTTAGATTAGTTGCACAGTTGATAGTTGTGGGATTCATTAGGCAATTAGACCTCTTGTCACCCATTACAGTTACAAGAAAGGAAGCCGCTGTAAAATCTTTATACCTTTTTATAAATTATAAACAAGCAAAGAAGCATGATATCGACAACACTTAACTTCCGCTATAAAAATAAAGTTTTGGAAGTTATTAAGGGTTCAAAACCAATGGATGAGTGTCTGAGACACTTGCCATTGTAACAGAAAACTAAAGGGCCGACCATCAAAGTTGAATTATCATAATATACGGGTTGATGGGATTCCAAGTTGTCTGATATGTGCGGGTGTTTCTGCATTCTGATCATTTACGAACACTTCATAGTCTTGAAGTCTTCAAATTCCTTCCTGTCCTCATTCATTATAGTTCATTCAGTGGTTGGGAATTTGTAAGTACTTTTTCTTATTGATATCTTTTTCATATTAGTTATTGTAGAAATAGTTGGATAGTGTTTTTTTTTTTTTTGTTAAATTCGTTGCTACTTGCTAATGTTTGGGCCACCTAGTGGAAAAAGGCTTGGTTGTTGTTACCAATGATGCGATCTAAATTCCCTGTTATGCGAACCATCTCGATGAATAGCAATAGATAAAAGTTGGAAGTATAGACTTCTTTGACTTGGTTTTATTCCTTTATCTTTTCCCCACATTGATATCATTTTTTTTGTAGGAACTACTTGAATTAGGTGAGTCAGTTGGAACTCAGAGCCGCGGTCTCTCCCAAGAACAGATCTCATTGCTTCCAGTTAAGAAGTACAAGTGTGGCTGGTTCTTCTTCAGGAAGAAGTCACGGGACGAGAGGTAATATTTCTGTTTCTAGACTTTGTTTTAGTTTTTTCAAATGCAATTGTTTCTTTTCTATGTTTCATAATTAAAACTGAGCATCTTGTTCTATGTGTTTTATTTTTATTTTGTTAAATTAAAACATGATATTATTTTATATTTTTGTGTAGGTAAAAATGAATGAGCAGTTTCTACAATTGGAATCAAACAATGATGAAGATGATGAATTTATGGAAGAAGCATCATATGTGGGTGTGCTTATTGGTGAATATGCAATAAAGCATCTATGTAAAGAGCCACGTAGAACAAGTGAACAAACAGGTCATGCATGGGTGCATGAAATATTGCAAGGTCATCCTATTCGTTGTTATGAGATGTTTCGTATGAAAAAACATATTTTTTACAATCTTTGCTCTAAGTTAGTTGACCATGGTTTAAGGGCCTCTAAGCATTTCTATTGCATTCAAAATCGTTTGCTGCTGCTTTTCAAGTTCTTTATTAGCTCTATTTATTTATTTAGAACCAAATATATAATAAGGGATAAGAAATTCCTGTATGCAAGTTTTTCATTGGGCTAATTTTAATCAGAATTATGTCTTCTTGGCTCTGTTGAACTTCTACGTTGTCTAGCCTAGGCTAATTTCTACATAACATAAATCAGTTTTATAAATTTTTATGTTGGAATACAAAGTCCCACATTATTGAATCATGAGAAAAAATTAAAGTTTATAAAAACACACATAATCTCCATTCTTATGAGGCCTTTTAGGAGATGATCAAAAGCAAAACCATAAAAGTTTAAGCCTAAAGTCTATGTTAAGATACAAATAAAGTCTCACATCACTAGATCATGAGAATAAATTAAAGTTTATAAAAAACATAATCTCTAATTGGTATAAAATTTTTTGAGAGATGACCAAAAACAAAATAATGAGAATTTAGGCCAAAAGTGGACAATATCATATTAATATGAAGATGTGTGTGTGAATCTCAAGTGCCCAACAGTGATATCAAAACCAATAGTCAACTAGGTGACTGACTCAAAGTTTCGAACAAGTATTTGACCGACTCAAAGTGATAACAATTTTTCAATTTATAAAAAATAATTAATAAAGCTCAATTCCGTATCATGTGAAAATTATTTAATCTAGGACCTTGTTAATCCCGGAACATGTAACAGTTTCTTACATAGAGAAATGGATTCTTGTGAATTTATAAATGATATGGCAATGAATGAATATATTAACGGGTCATTCATGATCCTAAAATCTGAAGCTGTCTGTCTGAATGTGGCGGTATGGCTTCCCTTGGCCATGACAGGGTTTAATAATCCCAAAATTACGTGCATGTGGAGATTATACTACAATCTACAAATACTATGACGTACAGCCAGTTGCATGCTTAGAGTTGCAACTAGAGGCGCCTTGTCTCTCTATTGTCTTCTTGGTAGAAGAGCAAGTATTTGGATTTTGTCTCCTCCGTAATGTGTTATTCTGACTCTTCTTCCTGTTTAGATGCGTAATTTGCCAGATGGAATATAAAAGAGGGGAGAAGAGGATTACTTTACCATGTAAACATGTCTATCATGCTAGCTGTGGGAACAAATGGCTTAGCATCAACAAGGCAAGTTATTTAGGAATCAGATCCTCTGAATGCATACATAATACACTTTCTGAAGTTTAGAATTTGTTAAAGCATTGATGAAATAAAAGTACAAGTGTTGCAAATTTTATAACTACAAGCATAATGACAAATCATGAATGTATGAGACCTAATTTAATTTTCTCACTAGCATATTTTTTAGGATCCAAATCAGTTTAGTTGATTCCTATTAATTTATGATGAATTCATCAAATACTTACAGTGCTTGCTGAAATACTTGTCTTATTTTTTCTTTGGTGTTGTTTTTCTTCAGGCTTGCCCGATGTGTTACACGGAGGTGTTAGCCGACGAGTCAAAACACAAATCATCATCTTCGAGTGAAGAGAAGTAACCTGCATTGCATATGATTCAGTTTTTCCTTGAGTTTAGCTATCTCTTTATAATTCATTTTGTTTCGATTTTTCTAGTTAGACGACGGTGAAGTTGGTTTTGACTATGAAATGGAAGCCGTCGCCAGGGTTGTACGCAAATTTTAAAAGAACAATCCAAAACGCATAATGCTTTATTTGCTACATCCTTTTTCTATTTTTTTGGTATGTTAAGAATATAATTTTTTATATTAAAAATAGCTTTTTTTTCATTTAATACTTTCATAATAATCTATTAATTAATTATATAAAAAAAGAAGTTCTATAACAACTCCTTTCTCTCTAAAAGTTTCAACTCCCATCTCTCCAAAACTCACTAAAACTTTTTTTTTATACTATTTGCGAGGAGATTTAGTTAACTTTTTTTATTAATAATAAATTAATTTAAAGCTGTTAATGTTTTGAAGAAGTTCCTCCCTCTTTCTCCTCTCCTTAAATGACAATTCAGTCAATTTTTATTAGCTCAAACTAAAGGTTTAAAAGACATTTCGAAATAATTATAGATAATAGCTAATTAAAAGATAAAATTAATTACTTCTTATTATTATGTATGTTGTTAACGTTAGATTAGTTCTTCCCCTTCAACTTCTCCAAAAGTGACAATTTATTCAATTTTTATTGGCATAGAATAAAAGTTTAAAAGGCACTTCATAATAATTATACATCTTGTTATTAAAAGTTGTTAACGTTTGAGCAATTCCTCCCCCTACCCTCCCCCAAATTGTGACAATTTAGTCCATTTTTATTTCTTCAAAATAAGGATTTAAAAGATATTTCATAATAATAACACATAATGACTAATTAAAAGACAAAATTAACTACATCTTATCTATAACAATATATAAAGAAAATATCTTTTTTTTCATCCACTTTTTCAAAAACAATTATACTCCTATATTTATATTCTACTTTTTATTTCACCAATATATCTAAGGATAAAATAGAAAAAAAAATACATATACAAAACAGTAACTACTTTTTAAAAATTAGTAACTATCAACTTATTTAATTTTTTTTTCACGAGTCCTTTTTTCATTATTAGTATTAGATAAAGTTGTTAACATTGGAGCACCAACTCCTCTACCCTCCGCCAAAAGATAATTTAGTCAATTTTTAGTAGTTCAAAATAAGGATTTAAAAAACATTTCATAATAATTATACGAAATGGTCAATTAAAAGAAAATTAATTACATTTAATGGTTGATTGATACTCCCTTTGATCGTATAGATTTTTGAAAGTATTAAATTATTTTTTCTTTGTTTGTCACGTTAAAAATTGTGAGAATGTGTGAATTTTTCTCTCACTTACTAAATTTTCTCCCATTGATATCTTATTATATAAAGTTGTTTACATTACCTCCTCACTCCCTTCCTCCAAAAAGAGACAATTTAGTAAATTTTTATTAGCTCAAAATAATGGTTTAGAAGACATTTCATTATAATTATATTTAATGGCTAATTAAAAGACAAAATTAATTATATCTTATCTTATTATATAAAATTATTATATAAAATTGTTAACGTTAAAACAATTCCTCCCCTTCCTTCTACCAAAAAGTAACAATTTAGTCAATTTTTATTGACTCAGCATAAGAATTTAAAAGACATTTCATAATAATTATAAATAATGGTCAATTAAAAGACAAAATTAATCTTATTATATGAGATTGTTAACACAATCTCTCCCTCCTCTCCCCCCAAAAGTAAGTGACAATTTAGTAAATTTTTATTGGCTTAAAATAAGAATTTAAAAGACATTTCATAATAGTTATACATAATGGCCAATTAAAAGACAAAATTAATTACATCTTATCTAATTATATGAAGTTGTTAATCATATAAAGTTGTTAACAATGAAACAGTTCCTTTCCTCTCCAAAAGTGATAATTTAGTCCATTTTTATTGGCTTAAAATAAGGGTTTAAAAGACAATTCACAATAATTATATATAATGGCCAATTAAAAGACAATTAAATACATCTTATCTAATTATATGCTCTCCTCTTTCAAAAAGTGACAATTTAGTCAATTTTGAGTGGCTCAAAATAAGGGTTTAAAAGATAATTCAAAACAATTATACATAATGGCTAATTAAAAGACAATTAATTACATTTAATGGTTGATTGATACTCTCTCCGATCCTTGTTATAAGAAGTAGTTTAAAAGTATTATTTTTGGTCTTCTTATAAGTTATCTTATGATTTCTAAAAAATATTAAATTATTTTTTCGATGTTTACTTTACCCTTATTAAAGATTATGAGAAATTATGTTATTTTTTTTATTCTTTACTTCTTAAACTCTCTAATTGACATCTCATTATATAAAGCTGTTACAGTTGAAACAATTCCTCCTCCAAAAAGTGACAATTTAGTAAATTTTTATTGACTCAAAGATGATTGCAATGAGGATTGAACCTAGGTCCTCATGCTTCTATATAACTATCCTAACCTCTCCCTACCCAACCACTAAGCTAACCTATTGGTTGCTCAAAATAAAAATTTAAAAGACATTACATAATAATTATACATAATGGCCAATTAAAAGACAAAATTAATTACATCTTATGTATTATATAAAGTTATTAATGTTGGACCAGGTCCTGCCCTCTCCTCTTTTCCGAATGTGACAATTTAATTAATTTTTATTGGCTCAAAATAAAGGTTTAAAAGACATTTCATAATAATTATACATAATGATCAATTAAAAGACAAAATTAATCACATCTTATCTTATTATATAAAGTTGTTAATGTTGAATAGATCCTCCCCTCTCCTCTTCCAAATGTGACAATTTAGTTAATTTTTTTTGGCTCAAAATAAAGGTTTAAAAGTTATTTCATAGCCAATTAAAAGACAAAATTAATCTTATTATATAAAATTTAAAAGACATTTCATAATAATCATACATAATGATCAATTCAAAGACAAAATTAATTACATCTTATCTCGTTAACATTGGATAGTTCCTCCCCTCCCACAGCCCAAAATGTGACAATTTAGTCAATTTTTATTGACTCAAAATAAAAGTTTAAAAGACATTTCATAATAATTATAAATAACGGTCAATTAAAAGACAAAATTAATCATATTATATAAAATTGTTAACGTTACAGCAGTTCCTCTCCCTTCCCTCTCCTAAAAAGTGACAATTTAGTAAACTTTTATTGGTTCAAAATAAGTGTTTGAAAGACATTTCATCATGATTATACATAATGGCCAATTAACAGATAATTTTATCTTATCCTTTTATATAACTTCAGTTTCTCTCCTCCCTCGCCCCCAAAATTAAATTTAGGGAGGTGTATTGGTTTAAGATTTCATAAGATTTAAAAAAAAAAAATTAGTAAAATAGTTCGTTGGTATTCGATCAGGATTTTATGTCACTTAAAAACAATCAAGTGGTATTCAATCTGGATTTTCAAGATTTTTTAAAGAGTCCACTCAAATTAATTGATATTTATTTGAAATTTTTTACAACTTAAAAACAATCTATTGATATTCAAAAATATAGGGATTTTAAAGAATTATTATATTAGAAAGATTTTGAAGGACTTTTTAGTAGTATCTATAAATACCAAATTTATAAAACAATCTCATCCAAACCCATCAAATTTTGGAAGATTGTGAGAAGTGACTTTTCAAGTGCTTCAAGAATTTTCAAGTGAGTTTTTCATTTTTTTTTTCGATGCTCATTAAATTTCCATTTTTTTCTCTTGCTAATAATACTGCACTACTGCTCATATATAATATTGTACCACTGTTCCTGTTCCATTCCCTTTTTTGGTGAAATTTCCATACGTAAATGATAGTGTCATTGACTTGCTCTATTTTTCTCTCTGTTCTCTTTAATTAACTTGCTCTATTAGTTGAAACTGTTCCTCAGTTATATAACATAGAAAACGCGTGAAATTTCAACTTTTAAGTAGTAATTTTTTTTATAACACGCATCAAGAAAAGAGAAAGGTGAAAGCTAAAATAGATATCATGATCTCTATAATCAACTGTAAATCTTCAAGACCTTGTAATCAATTTAGATCTATTAGAACAATATATATATATATATATATGTGTGTGTGTGTGTGTGTGTGTGTAATTTATAAATAAAATATTTTAAATCACAAATTATAAGAAATTTGAAATGTTTAGAATAATTTTTAGTATGTGTAGCACCACATAACTTTCTTCGTAAAGAGTATCATTCTAATGAATTTTCAATTAGAGTGGTGGATGAACCTTCATTTTCAACATTACCAGTTAATGAAAATCATAATTTTGAGCCTATTATTAAAACTCAGGAGCAAGAGCGAAAAGATGTTAATGCTTATAGAACTAGTATAACTATGGATATGTGAGTGAATGCTATTTAGAAGGATATGATATTACAGAGATTTATTATTATTATTATTATTATTATTATTATTTATTAGACATTGTTGTTTTTTTATATTTGTCTCTTTTTAAATTTGAATGTATGAAAAAAAAATCTTGAACTCTTATTCTATGTAAAAAATCTACGAAATTCTGCAAAGTTTACAAAGTCCCGCAGAATCCATTAAAATCTTAACTTAAAAGTCTTGTAGAGTCCATTAAAATCCTGATTGAAAGTCTTATAAAATCTTACAAAATGTTAAAAGTCATGAAAATCTTGCAAAGTCTTTTAAAATCCACTAGACTTTTTTCAACTAAAAAAATTTCTTTAAAATCCTAATTCAATACACCTCCTTAGACAATTTTTATTGGCTTTTAAAAGACAATTCATAATAATTATACATAACGATCAATTAAAAGAAAATTAATTACATTTAATGGTTGATTGATACTTATTTGATCCTTATTATAAGATAATTTTTAAAAAATTCTAGATCATTTTCATAAGACATTTTATAGTTTCTAAAAAGAATTAAAAGTGTGATTTTTTTTTGGACGAGGAATTTTAGAGATTCTAAGAAATTTGAATTTATGATTTCAATTTTTATCATTATCTAAATCTTTTGTTTGGACAAATCAATTCAAAAAATTTAATTTTAAATTCTTAATTTTGATAGAAAAATTTGATTTTTACCATGGATAGAATTGATTTTAAACAAATATATATTAAGATTTTAAGATTTAATTTTATAAAACTAAATATTAGTCAATTTTTAAATATTTAATGATTTTAAATATTCAATAATTAAAAAAAAATATTGATATTTTTTATGTCAACTTTGAAAGAGGAAAGATGGAGATAGAATTTTTTTTTTCAAATTCTTATTTTTTTGGAAGAATTTAAAATTGTAATTTCTGTTTTTTTTTTTCTATCTCCATCTTATTTTTTTGGGAGAATTAAAAAATATTGTACAATTTTAAAAATAATTTCAAATATACAATAATTAGAAAAACTATTGATATTTTTTCAGGCTAACTTTGAAAGAGAGAAGGTGGAGGTAAATTTTTTTTTTTTCACAAATGTTTAGATTTTAATTTTTTTTAAATTCTCTATTCAAACAAAACATTTCATACAAGATATTTGAAATTCTTCAAAAGAATTAATTTAATTTTTCTATCTAGACACACTGTATTTTTTTTGTTTTGTTTCTATTGTTAAAAATTTTGAGAATGTATATTTTTCTTTCTTACTTTTTAAAATATCTTCAATTAACATCTTATTATATAGTTGTTAACATGAGTTCTCCCCCAAAAAATGACACTTTTGTAAATTTTTATTGACTCAAATATGGGTTTAAGAGACATTTCATAACAATTATATATAATACCCAATTAAAAGATAAAATTAATTACATGTTTTCTTATTTTAGTGGATATATTGGATTCAAATTTCACAAGACAATTTTAGCACAAAATAGTCTGGAGTAGGAACTTAATGAATTTTAAGATTTTTTTAAAATTTTTTGTAAAATGTAATAAGTTTTAAGATTTTTTTAAAATAAATTTTTAATCAAAAATTTGTAATATAAATGTTAGTAGATTTACATCTTAAAATTTTGTAAGACTAAAAGGATTTTATGAGACTTCAAAGAACAATATGATTTTTTCTAAAAATAATACAATTAATAAAATAAAATAAAATACATGATAAGGTTTGAATAAGATCAATAATCTTTTTCAACCTTTTAATAAATAATTGATTATTGTTTCATGTTTTCTTAAGTAACATTTTTCTATATATAATTTTTTATACATTTATATTTTTTCATTCATGATATTGAATTTGAATATATTCAAATTTACGATATTAATTAACAAGTAGAATTGTCAAAATATATTTTTAATATTTATTTAAAAATTTGACATTTCAATATTAAATTTTATTAAAAACAAACATTTGTTAAACGTACATTAATAATTTAAAATTTTAGCAATAGCTAATATTTAATAATTCAAAAATAATTTTAAATATTTAATCATTAAAAAAAATATTAATAAACTATACATCATGACAAATAAAAATGAATAAAAAATATTGATAGTTAAAAAAAAATAGGAGAAAAAATAGAGATAAGAAGAAGAAATAAATGATAGAGATGAATAGAAAGAGAAAGAATATGAAATAGAGAGGTAAAGAGAAAATAGATAAAAGACAAGCTAAGATATGAAAGAAAATAGAAGAGAGAAAGCAAGAAAGGAGAAGGAGAGAGAAGCAAGGCAAGAAAAAAAGAGAAATAGAACAAAATAATAAATTATGCAAAATCTCAAAAGTTTTTGTGAGATTATTAGATGAGTGAGTTAAATGTAAATTCTACTAAAATTTCTTACAAAATTCATTCTTTAAAATAGTCTGATGAAATCTCTTTGTTTTTTAATATTAATAGATTTTTTTAAGTGATTTTTTTAATAGAATACTATCAGATTTTGATGTACTCCTAAAAAATCTTAATTGTCTTAATTTAATATCACCCGACTCTAATGTACTTTTTAAAAAATCTTGATTATCTTAATTGAATAATACATGACTTTTTTATGTTAAAAAAGGCCTACATACATTTTTAGTTCTCAAATTTACGGTAAATTTATTTTTGATCCTTCAAATTTAAAATTATTATTTTTAGTCTTGTAATTTTTAAAAATTATTATTTTAGTCTCTCAGATTACTAATAACATATTTAAAAGTGACAAATTAAAACAATTATACATCATCAACTGGGTTTAATGTGATATTTTTATTAACAAATATATCATTAGATATATTTTATGCCACAATATTTGACAAATTCTTTGATAAAATTTGAGTATAAGAATCAAAATAAGATTTTTTAAAATTATAAAGACTAAAATAATCAATTTTAAATTTGAAAGCTTAAAAATAAATTTATCTTAAATTTGAAGGACAAAAAAATTTAAATCTTAAAAAAAATTGATTGAATACTTGAAGACTTTTTTATAATAAAAAAATATTTTAAAATTCTTTAAAATCTAATTTAATGTACTCCTTATAATATAAACTGTTAACGTTGGACTAGTTCCTCCTCCTCTCTTCCCACCAAAAGTGGCAATTTAGTCAATTTTTATTGGCTCGAAATAAGGGTTTAAAAGGTATTTCATAATAATTATACATAATAACTATTTTTTTAAAAAAATTAATTACATCTTATTACATAAAGTTGTTAACGTTGAACCAGTTCTTCCCCTCCCCTCCATAATCACAATGAACGAAATTGAGAAAAAATATTAAATTCTCTATACTTATTTGATTAAATGAAAAGGAAAATAAAGTCGTGATTTTAAAATACAAGTTTACTGCTACAAAAAAGGAATTACTTTGATTTAAAAAAGTATGAATTGAAAGGAATTTTGAATACTCGAATATGTTGACATTCTCACTCGTTTTTTTTTTTTTTTTTAAATGAAAAATATTAAAAATATACTCTTTTAAATATAATTCTTTTAATAGTTAAAATTTATTGAAAATCATTAAAATTATCATAAGAGGATTATTAAATAATATGTGAAACTCATAAATTTGGTAACCTTTGATATGAGAAAAATTGATGGTTCTTACATCACTTACCTGCTGCCATGAAGTTTGTTGGCTTTAATTATTTGAACAACTGTTTGGGGGATCTTTTTTTTTTTTTTTTTTTTTTTTTTTTTTTTTTTTTTTTTTTAAA